GTGCTGCCATAGGCATGCATGACCTGTGCCATGGTAAGCAGGGGGAGTCAATGTCAAAGCTGTCTCATGCCCTTAGTGGGGTCCAATGTCTCTATAACATTATGATTCCGTACAGAATCATAGTGCTGGGGTTTTTTCAAAAGTAATTTTGAAACTGAGGATAATGAACTGTCCTGAGAACTATTCAGAAATGACCACTACAAGCTGTGCCTTTTCTCTGGGTCGTGGATAATAACTCTAGCTCAAAATTAGATCTTAGAAGGACAGCCTAAGTGTAGCTTAGATTTGGTGATACAATTGCCCAGTTAATTTCCTTTGTGAGTTAATACAGCTGCAGGCTAGATAAAACAACCTCTTGAGATTTTCTGCTTGATTCTGCAGTTTTTGGGGCAGATATGCCCTACTTATGTCCTAGTTTGTTGCCTCTCTTTACTGATCTGTAGATGGTGCAGACACAGTAATTGACAGCCATTGACATTTCACGCCTATTCTTAATAAATTGAATGTGTGAACTCTCAGCATTTTCTGTGAATTTATAGCAAAGACTCTTTTGATGTCCAAGTGATGATCCAAAAGTGGTTAAGTATTATTTGTTTTTCTATTCAGATAAAATCAAATTTTAAAAAATCACAAGATTCATTTAACCTGTATTGTCTCAAAGTATCATTTGTATTAAGAAGAAAGGATGTTTCAACATATTAGCATTAAATGCAGGCAGAAGACAAAGCTCCTATAAACATATTCTTCCTTTGAAGAGTATGAAAAAGAGAAAGATAATGCAGGTTTGTGTAGTAGTATGAGCATGTGCATGAGCTTTGAGCAGATGAGAGATTGTCATTGGTTAAATTTCCCAATAATCATAGAACCACAGAATAGTTTGGGTTGAGAGAAGCAACATCTAGTTCCTGCCAAGGGCGGGGACACCTTCCACTAGATGAGGCTGCTCAAAGCTCCATCCAATCTGGTCTTGAACACATCTGGAAAAGGAGCATCCATTCCCAACCCTCTTTCAGTTTAAAGCCATTTCCCCTTGTTCTATCATTACATGCTCTTGTAAAAAATCATCCTGACATTATTTCCGTAACTTTAGAGATTGTCCTGATGGTACATCAAGGTGTTGGGACGTGGCACAATATCCAAGGATAGCTTTTGTGTTTCCCCCTTTAGCTGGTTCTTTCCCATGATACTTATGAATGCTGAAAAATCTCACAACGTCCAAGAAGCTCATGCTAGGAAAGTTGCATTGGGGAAGGGATTTAAAGTAAAACAATCCCTTGTGATGATTTATGAGGCCTCCTTTTCTATCATGATTATTCTCTCAGTCACATTATTCATCTCCCAGCTGGCATGAGAAATGCTGATAGTTTAGGAATGCCAAGCACACCTCCATCAGTAAGACAAGCAATCCAGAGTTTCTGACCACACTTAAGCGGTCTAAGGTAGCCCAACACTGGCCTTCCTCTGTGAGGTGGGGAACTTGCACTAGAACATCTTGCATGTAAGTTTTGGGTAGTTGCATTACTGTCCTTTAGTTACTTGTTCTACATGTTACTGTTTTAGTGACATTGGACAATACGTAAGTGTAATCTGTTACACACATGAGTTCTGGGGTCACTTTTTGTATTTTTCATGAAGGGGCCTTGTTGTTAACATGGTGCCTGTCAAATAAAAAATATTTTGCCAATCTTTTAGTATCCACAAAACGTTTATGTAATCTCAGGGGTTTCTTGAGTGGTACTAGGTGAAATGTCTGAAGTTTAGATATGAAATTTAGGTATGTTTAGATAAGAAAATCAAGCAGTTTTAACACACTCAGAAGTGACTTTCAACCACTGCAAACTTTTCTTAGGATGCTGATTTCATTCCAAGAAGGGTTTATTTTTATTTATCTTACACAAGTTCCCAACAAGTTAAACTACACTGAAATAATGTGCCTGCCTGCCTTCCCTACCTCCTAGGGAAACAGCCAGGAAGGGCTGTCTTAGGCAGTGGACACATTCTTTCCTTCTCTATTTCCAGCTGAGGAGTTAGAGTTTTAGTGGGAGTTGAGGATGTGAAGAGTGAAGAAGATGAGAGAGAAAAGTGTAAATAAAACACCATCAGTCTAGGAAGGTTATCTTCCCTTCAGCTGTTTTTCAAACAGATTCCAGTGCATTTTCTGCTCTCCTTTTTCCTCCACCTTTCTTGCCTTTAGGGAGAACCTCATCCCTGCCCTCCCGATAGAAGAGCATACACAAGTAGATAAATCCTTTGGACCAATGCTTTTAAAAATGGAAAAGAGAACTATGCTACTGTTGGCTTCTTTGTCTCTCATGTTCAGAGGGGACCAGAGACACTCAGTGGGGCAGAGGGCTTCCAGCAGTGCAGGGCAGAGGCTGTGCTCTGCTGACAAGACTGAATTAATTTCATATTTTTTGCAGTGGGGGTGCTTATAAAACTCTGTGTTGCAAAAAAACCCTGCCAGAGCTCTGGAATAAGTAGGAATAAGGGCAGGAGCAAGTCACTTATTTTTTTTTAAACATTGTCCTATTAAAAGTGATGGAGGGTGACCAAAACCCCCAGTAAGCATTTTAATAATTTCTGGACTAAATGCATAATTCCCAATATTTTGGGTGACCTTATTCTTTTTTAAGTTCTAAGAATGATTTTTAGGGGCATACACTGCTCTTCTAATGATCTCTAACTTGCTGGTTGCCAGTCACCACTAAATAAAAATGGCTGTTCCATTGCTACTCTGCTCGGAGGCACTGGGACAAGTCAAGATTACCCTGTCACACTGTTAGTCACCAGGGACACTGTTTTTTCAGCACAGTCCATATTGCTCAAGACATTCCAGCACCTTCTATGTTAGCCTTGGATCCAAATAAACACAACTAAATATAGAAAAGAAGTTTGCTTTAGGTGGGTACATGTACGCTACGTGTCTATGCTGGCAGTATAGTCAAACAGGATCTAGGGTTTAGTTCAGCAGAGTACAGAGCAGTGCCTGTCTCCTGTTACACGATATTCCCTTCTCCCCAGTCACTTCTCCTGAAGAGTTCAGCTTTTCCAGGTCCAAGAGCATAGCTGCCAGATCTAGGGATATCTCAGATACCTTAAGGCATCTCAAATGGCACTGGGCAAATAAATTTGGGCAGCTGAATTTAGCTTTTCTTGTGCCAAGCCCAGAGTGTGAGGCAGCTGAGCAGCCAGCAGAAGCCTTCCTGAGGATTAGCTGCACCTCTCTCAACTGACGTGATTACCTTGTGCTGCTTGGGGAATTTAAACACCTGCTTCACATGTAGACACCTAAATTTAAATATCTTCACATGGAGGTCAATCAAATTTCATCTATTTTTTTCTCACCTTCTTTAGAACTTTTCCTTGTCAGTTTTCCTTTCTCAATTCTCACCCAGACCTCCTGTATCTGGTTGCTGTGAGCTTGAGATTTGTATTGTGCAAAGACACCATGTCCACTTCTGTCTCTTCTTCATCTCTGAACTTGCTGGATTAAGAAGCAAATCCAGCATTTTTGGTACCCAATTATGTAACCACCTATGATTCATGTAGTAGCCCAAGACATTTTAAAATATCAGAGCATAAAACAGGCAGAAGGTCAGCCTAGGCCAACAAGGAACGTCAAACAGTGACACCAGCCAACAATGAGCAGCGGGGAGGACTGCACAAGCAGGGTAAATACACAGTGATATTTCTCTACAAGAGTTTCTCAGCCCCCAACATCCTGCTGCTTGAAGACATCCTGAACCAGAAGCAAACTTTTGGTATTAATTAGCCCAGGATTAAATCTTCTCCCATAAGAGCATCCAGCTGGTTTTAAACCTACGTAGATTTCTATCCCGTTCTGACAAAAGTTTCACAATTTAGCAGGATAATCCTTAAACCACAGAAACAGATTGTCTGTACCCTTGGAATTGTATTGAATCATTTTCTGGGTCATTCTTGTAGGAGCTATGCCAGGGACAAGATGTGTGTTTATACCCAACACAAAATTAAAACTCATATCAAGAACCTACTTTCAATTTTTCACCAACAAACATGGATTTAGATTATCCTTGCATGGAAACATACAAACACCACAAAAACCTAAGATTAAAATTAGGTATTTCTTACAAGGGCTCTTTAAGCTTTTAAAGTTTGTCAAGGAATTAATCATGAGGTGAGGAAGAACAGAGCTTGTTCTGTGCTTTTCTACCCTATGCATAACAGCATGTCTACCCCAATCCTTGTAAAAGGACATTATGCCTTCTCACAGCATCCATGTGCCATCACTTTTCTGCTTCTCCTCCTCTCCCCTTAAATGTTGTTCTGGCTCTAAGGACAGCTGTCTGATTAGTACGTGCACACCAAAGTCACTGTCACTTGAATTTGTGACCTGAAGAAATAAATCCTAACACTTGCTGAGCTTCAACTAACTTTCCAGGCTTCCAGCTAAAGGAATGCTTCTGAGTACCCAGTGCTGTATTTCCTCCCTTCCAGGAAATGATACATCAAGGCAGTTTTGTCCAGAAACTTACATTTCTCAAACACACAGTGTCTGTTCTCATAGGAAATTAGTACTGTGCTTTTAAGTCAGATTCTACCAGACTCTGACCAAAAATAGGCCTGCCCTATTTTTTTCTTACCTTAGTTTTCTTTTTTGTCTTTGCACAGAAAAGTTGTTATGAAAAAATAGATAAAGGGGGAAAGTTCTAATCCATCTACTGATTTGTACAGTTTGCTACATCAGGTTTCAAAGATCCTAATGACGTTTCTTTAACATCACTCCTTCTATCCATATGCTTTGAAAATTGTGACTCTCACTTTTTACCCTGGAGATTCCTGAGGTATTTTTTGACAATAGCCCTGATCTCACATCCCTGTCTCAAACAGGAATCTCTGTGTTTTGGATTCCCATCCACTACAGGAGTCCCTCTTTTGTCCCTCTCATTCAGCTCACCTAGGTGTATATACTATTTACTGATACTTGGACATTAATGCTTTCTGTAATGTATTTCTTTCAGACATCATTGTTCTCATCGCTTCAATAGCAGTTGTTTCTGCAAAAACTCAAGGTAACATTTTTGCAACATCAGCACTGAGAAGTCTTCGTTTCCTACAGATCCTTCGCATGGTGCGCATGGACCGAAGAGGAGGCACTTGGAAATTATTAGGTTCTGTAGTTTATGCACATAGCAAGGTATGTAATCCTAAAAACTAATTTTGTCTGGTTGATATCTTCACTTGATGTGATTCAACAAGTGACCAAGGAAATAAGCATTTATCAGTTTTGAGAAGAATACCCAAAGTTTTCTGAAGTAACACCAGTTGTAATATGAACTAACACAGATACACCAGGCCATGGCTGTTTAATACTAACAGTTTTTAGAGAGCTTGAAAATGTTGTTCTTGATGTGCAGCTGTAATTTGTTATATGCTGGGGACGTTGCTAAAGCATCAAACCATAAGAGTAGATCCTGTCCATTTTCAGAATTTGTTTCCATAGGGAAGCATTTGACTCATAACTGCACAGATGCCAAAAAAGCATTTATATAGATAATTTCATCATGTCTTCTTGAAATGTCATTCTATTCAGTCCATAAAATGGGAATTGATCTCTGTTCTGTTTTATCTAGGAATTAATCACAGCCTGGTACATAGGATTTTTAGTACTCATCTTTTCATCTTTCCTGGTTTATTTGGTGGAAAAAGATGCAAATACCGAATTCTCCACATATGCAGATGCTCTCTGGTGGGGCACAGTAAGTACAGAAAAATAACATGGACTCTCTAACCAGAATGCTAAAGTGCTTTGAATTTCACCTACTGAGGATTTTAGCTTAGTGTTCTGTTCAGTGAATTGTTTTCACTGACAAAAAATGGTCTGAGAAGCTTCCTCCTTCAGCTATTCATTTGCACATTGACAGATTATTTCAGTCCATCCAGCAGAACAGCTGTTTATGTGTTTCTGCTGCAAACCAGACCACTAAACTTCAAGAGAAGAAAGCATTGTACTTTTTAACCCTTAGCCTTTCAGTAATATAGTTTGTAATATGGCCCCACAAAGAGCTGTTTTGATACAAACCAGAGGGCTCTAAGTGGCAGTGCAGGAAGAGGAAAACGTGTCAGGAAAAAAGAGAGAAAAAAATCTTACATCAGCTTTGGCATGAGAGTATAATCAGTGCCCTTTATAAGATGTTTCTCTTTCCTCTGTACCTTGAGGACAAAGACCAAGAATGCATATGTCAATTCTGGTTCAGCAGTATTATTTTTTACAGGTATAAAAACCCTGATTTACTTGAGATCATGGTTAACTATCAAATCAATAGTTTTTACTTTGTTGAAATCTGTGGGATCTAAGTACATGCCTGACTGCTTTTCTGAAGGAAGATTATATGAATACAGTTAAAGAAACTAGGCTTTCAATGAATAAAAAATGGCCTAAGTTTGAAGTTTTGATTTTTTTTTTTTTTAATGGCATAATGTGTAGGAGTTTTTGCTTAAAAATGCCCTATAGTGATCCAGACTTCATCACTGTGTGAGAGTTACTTAAGCAGCTTAAGAAATCTGCCCCAACAAAGCCCAAGGCAGTTATAGTCAGGCAGTATAAAAGTGCTTTTCTTTTCCTTCTGGTGCAGTAGAACACACACTGTGTGCTCTGGCAGAGTCTGGTTAGTGAAATGATACCTGGGAGATCATTAATGCTGACAATAACATAGAGCACTCATTAGTTTCCTTGGAATAAGTGTGAGACCTGAGCCAGCCTCTGCCACCTTTCCTTATCAGAATAATGCAAAAATGAAGCTTTCTCACCTCAGACCTCTTGCTGACAGGATTTCATCTAGATTTAGTAGTATCTGCAGACTCACAGCATACACACAGGGACTGCACAAAAGCCCTTTCCAGAATGTCTTAAATTATTACAAATATTTGTAAGAAGTTTTGTCTGCATTTTGAGCTAAGGTCAAGGTCACTTACTAATATTAGGGGTAGTTAGTGTATTTGAAATTTGTTCATCTAAGGGCTAGTCATTTGTTGCATGTCCCTAGAGACTATATTTCTATGTTATCACTGCACAAAACTAGGAGCTTGAAAAAGCCAGACCTACTAAATATTATGTGTACATATTCAGGAAATACATTTTGCTGAAACTTGTTGCTTTAGAGCATCAAGTCAGATCACTGATAAAATATACATTTTATCCTGTAGTACAAACACACACAAAATTCATATTGGCTAAAGTCACGAGACAAGGTTTTGCATTCAGTTGCATCACTGCAGTTTATTTCCCATTTCTTCAAAAGCTGAGTTCTGGGTTTGCCTTAAGGCATTCTCACCTTCCTGTATTGACACGGTTGTGAAGCATCTGGCAATGGATGCCCTCACTGATGGGTAGCCCAGCTCTGGGAGTCTGAAAACACTGTTATCCCTTTTGGGTGGCAGTGGGGGATATGGTCCTGTAAGAGACCCTCCTGTGGCTGTGCATGTTCTTGGGAATGGATCTTTTCAGACATTTGATTTCCCAGGAAACCGCCTCTACTGCTCTGCAAGGCCCTGTGTGCCTTAGCCCTGGACTGAGCAGAGGATTGTGCCCACCTGCCAGCTGGAATGGGGAAACCTATGCACAAAGAATGAGAAAGTCCCAGAAAACTCAGAGCTCCACTCTGGCATCTGACTGTGTTAGATCCAGATCCTTCTTCCTGAGCAGCTCTAGCAGTGGGAACAAGACCTTTATTTTGGAATTTGCTTCTCCAGTCCCTGCTGACTGGGATTTTTAAAGGAAAAGCCCTGCTAGGAAATAATCATTGTCTAAAGTGGTGCTTAAAATATTTTGTACACTATGAAGTGAAAGTGCATGACTCAGAGGTTATATAAGTAGTGCAACTGAGAAAATCAGGAATCTTGCCTAGATTTCAGTGGGAAAAACAACAAATTTTATTTAAAAACCTGAAAACAATATTTTGTATTGTATATTTCTATATATTTTCTTCTTTCCCCAGTGTATGACATTAAAACATTTAAGTTTTTAATGCACTTAAGCAAGTGCACAAACTTACTAGAAAACAGTGTTCCCCCTTACCTGATGTCTTTGCCATTTTAATAATAGTAATTTTTTTTACAATATGTAAAACAGTATGTGGGAAATGCATAATGTGCTTCTTAGTCATGGTTGTTTTTACTGCCAGAGTAACCCACATGCAGATTTTTGAAAAGGACAAACTGTATGGCATTTTAGGGGAAATCAATGCTCAGTCTCATTGATTTGTTTATTTGCAAAAGTTATTCTGCTTTAAACCACAGATTATGTACCAAACTCTGAACTGAATTTTGTCATGGCAGAGGTACAAGAAAGAAAAGGCTGCATCAAAGGCACAAATAGTCACCCTAAATTTCAATCTTTTAGAGGCACTTATGGTTTTCCCTACAGGAGCAGCACTAGCATGCTGCAATTAATTCATTCATTAATCCAGATTACTTGAGGACCATACACTGCTATGGTTATTTCACTGACACCATTTCTGAAGCCCATATTTATATACAAAAATGAAAGACAGGATATGGCATCCAAATTTATGTATGAATACTCCACTGTATTTGCAATTTCATGCTGTACTGTGCAATCTGCTATTTAAACATCATGTTAATATTACTACTGTGAATATTTTTGTGGTTGGGATCCACACAGTGTTGCCTAACACAGCAGCACACAATGGTGATTGTTAAATGAAGAGCTCAAGTTCAGAATTTGCTTTAGTAGAGAAGATAAATTAATTTAATTAATTAATTTAACAGAAGAAAATAATGAAACCATATGGAAACAAAAGGTCAATTAAAAAAACCTAAGTATTTCAAAACCAAACCATACATAGTTTTCTGGGATATACTGATGTGAACTAGAACTGTGGATACTTATAGTGACATTTTGTTTGTACATTAATTAGCTTTAGCTGCAAATTTAATGCAGCTGAAGTTTCTGTCCCTCTTACACATTTGATAGAATTTCTTTTAATAAGTCTTGATCTTCTAGTAGTACCCAATAGTTACAGTTGGATACATAATGGGTCTAGCACTCCACAGTGACCTGTTAGTGAACAAAACATACTACAATTAATTACATTTGCACAATGACTAGCTGAAATGAGTTAACACTGATTAAATTTTTCCTATTTAATGTAATGATAGCATGAACAAACTGTATTTTTTTCAGTTAAGTGATGTCAGGTAACAATCCAAAAGGTAAGTACTGCTAGGACAATTTAAAATTACATCAGAAAGAAATATTAGGGTAGAGAATGGCCTCCTGAGTCCTATCTCATCTAATTGAAGTAATCTAAGTTGTATCATCACATTCATTATTATATTACCTCATTCATATTAGCATATTTATTAGCTCCAGCAATGAGATAATGGATGGTCTATAATCATTGTGAGTTTTGAGCCTGGTCAGATGACACTGCCTACTTTGGCTAGTCTGTTGAGACCCCTCATTTATAGAAATAACCTAAATGGAGTGGTTTGAACCTGGTGTAAAAGACAGGACTCAGCTAGCTCATTTAGCCATGCAGGAGTGTGAGTCAGCTATTTAGACATAGGCATACAGTGCCACCAAAGATCTCTTGGGCAGTCTGCTTCCTCTCCTGTGGGTGGTCCCTGTTCAGATGCCCTAGTACAACTCTGGTGGTACTAGAATTTTTTTTGCAGACAAGCCCAAGTCCTACATTTTGGGATAGGATGAGTTACCTTTGAGCTTTGGTCACTTCTCTCTTACCCACACAATGCTAGCTGTAACTTGTGTCTGCTTCTCACATGATTAGCAGTGATTCTGGAAATTTCTTACACTGCTGTGTTTTCACATCCAGTCATTTTACACACCCTGCTCAGTTAATTGAGTCTCAGGATTATGCCAGTCAAGGGCTGACCAATGGTTTGCCAGTCAATGGCCTGGCCAAGTGCACTAGCAGCACTTACAAAGATGCAGTGGATTATTCCCAAACTTGACCCTGACATTGTCCAAAAAACATTTTTTAGTTGTGTGGTGAGAGTAGTATAAAATGAAGATCAAACCCCTTTGCTCAGTGTTGAGTAAGACAGTACAGCATGGTGCTGACACCTATACACTCCTGTAAAGACCATCCTGACATAAAATAGCTCAAAGTGAGCAAGAAGCAACTGATATTCTTAATCACAGACTGATACCATTAAGTCCTTAGTACCTAGAAGAATTGAGGGAAAGGCTTGATAGGGTCTTGGTATTTTCTTTGGAGAAATTCCAGAGAGATACTCTGTGTGACTGCTGCTGGTTTTGGATTGCTCTCAGATGTCAGGTCCCAAAGGTTCAAGTTTATCAGACTTCTTTGGAATACAGTTGGGTGGCAATAGCATTAATATGCAGATGACGCTTTGTTCTCTTTCCCTCTCATCAGCCCAGACAGGAGATATCTCTCTACTTTCCAGCAACTGGCAGAGATAGGGAGCTGGATGGAAGCCAAGAAAGCAGGCTCATTCCAGAGCTCCAAACTGCTTTTCAATAACTGGCCTGGAAACAAATTTTGAGGAACCTTTATTCGGGGATTCATTTGTTCAAGTGTTTCATTCCTCTTGGGTTCTTAATAGCCTCAAACTGTTCTGCAGTTGCCTTCTGATGTGAAGAGCTGTAATTATCTTCTTCAACAAACAAATCAATCCCCTCTGCCAGGCCAAGACCATGGCTGCACCAGCTCATCTCTGCCAGAAAAGAGAGAGTTGCATTCTCATGTTCCTTCTTCCCTCTTACTCCATCCCGGTCTCTCGTTGCCTTATGCAGGCTCTGGAGCTTGTTAGGCATGTCTGTGAGCTGACACGGCACCAAAGCAGCAGAAACAAACCACTCAAAAATGTGGATCATTTTCTGTCTCTTCCTGGGTGGCAGTGGCTTGCCAAAGAGTCCAGAAATGCTCAGAAGAGGAGATGGGGCAGGGACGTGAAGAGGAGCAAGGAAGAGTGAGACCTAATAGGCATGCAAGGTGGTGTGTCTGTGACCAGGCTAGTGTTACAAAACTTGAGACTTGATAACCACTTGAAATTTCAGCTGCAGCCTGAATTCATCTCTCTTTCTTAGTCCCTGTGGCTTTCTCAGGGTAAATTACACCAGCAGCTTGTTCCCAACAATGGGAGCAATTAAAAGCACTGTTTACTATCTACAGAGTTCTAAATAGTTGAAATCTAATTACTTCCAAAAGACTTTCCTTCTTTTGTCCCGTGGTGACCCTGACATTAAATAGAATTGTTTTGGTCATCTTGCCTAGGAACGAACTTTGAGGAAGCTGGAAGCAAAATAATGTCTCTAGAAGGCAATTTCCTGAAGAATCTGTTGCTGCCAGAATATTTGCTAAGCCTGAACTTGCCCACATTTGGTACACGATGTAAAATAATTCTCCATGCACATGTTCTCCCTAATAGCAGGCCCCGGAGTCCTTGGCACTCAGCCTACTGTTGTCTATCTTTGTCCTTTAACATCGTGTGCCGCTGCCTGAGCACGCGCCCCGCAGCCTCCTGGCCGGCCCTCGGGAATCCTCCGCTCTGCCCACACCTTCTCCAGCTGCCTACACCAGGCACTTGTGTGGGTCTGAACTCTGTGAAAGCACACAGACACAGCTCTTCTGCCAGTCCAGTCCCCAGGTATGGGATTGGTGTGTTCTTCCTGAGCCACAAGCAGCCTGACTCCTTCAGTCAGGGAGAGCCTTCAGACTCATCTTTCGCTTTCGAGATGTTCTCAGTGAGCCCCAACCACACACCATTATCTCAGTGGCCATGTTGCTCATGGCCAGTGGTCAATGAGCCCTCCCACCTGCACGAAAACTTGCCTCCCCTGTCTCTTTGACCTGTCCACAGGCAGGTCTGAGCTAACATGGTCCAACAGCCCGAGGTACCTCTGCCTCTGGTGCTGTGCAGTAACCTTTGGACCACCATGTCAGGAGTGACATAGATGTGTCTGAGCCTGTCAGGAGGAACGGGAAAGGACCAGAAACTTCCTCCCAGCTTTTCATTAGTGTTTTTTGTGGTTCAGAAGGGAATTCACTTCAAATTGTACTGATGGGTTTGCAAAAAATGCAACTGCTTCTTGCAATTTCTTTGATTTTATATCATCTGCAAGCATCAACTTCTTCCCTCCTGTATTGTTCCAGTATTATCTCCATGTAATTTATATTTGTTTCATTAGATAAATACATACAGTCATATTTTCATGCAGAAAATAGGTGAAACACTTTCACATCTATAGAAAAGAACACTTTTTTTCTTTCCAACTTATAGAATTTCCTACCATTTGCCTCAAATTTGAGATCAAGGTAATTTTTCATTATTTTTTAAATTTATTGCTTATTTAGGTGTTTTTCTCACATTTATTATTTATCTCAGTTTTATTTAGCCATAAACAGTATTACGTTTTTACAGAAAAGTGTCAATGTTAGTATAATTGTGTTAATTTTTTAGAAACCGCTATATGTTTCAGATGTCTTGGATTAATTAGTGGAAATGTTGCTTCATGCAATGTAAATAATCTGCAACTAATCTGTTAGTGGCTTCTGGTAAACCCCATTGTTAATTAATTTCTTTTTAGATCACATTGACAACCATTGGCTATGGAGACAAAACTCCTCTTACTTGGCTTGGAAGGTTGCTTTCTGCAGGATTTGCTCTACTTGGCATTTCTTTCTTTGCACTACCTGCTGTGAGTATGCCTATAAAATTAATAAAAAATAATAGAAACTCCTGTAGGTCATGCCACTTTTATGATACAAAAAGCTGAAGGAAGCTATCTACATGAAGAACAACTCTTTAAGGCTTTCTGCTCTGCAACAATACTTGTGAAGTGTTATCCAAAATCCAAAGAAAAGGTTTGGTGTCCTTGCTTTGGTTTTGGGAAGTTTCTCTGGCTTGGACAAAACTGGGAAATTAGGCTTCATACTATTTAGAAAAGTTGAAAATCCTTCCATTTGTTATTAATTGCAACATATATTACTGCTTTTCTTTCAAATTTTTCAAAACAAAACAAAAATAAAAGCACGTTATATGATTTTCTAACTTAGATTATTGTGGAAAAAATAGGTATTTCTAATAGCTTTTTTTGTATGGCCATGTTCAAGCTACCAACAGAGAGTAGTAGAAGGCCTTAAATCAACTAATGGTTAATGATGTTGAATGCAAAAGGTGCAGCTATCATTTTCTGTGAATCATTGTAAATAAAAATTGTAGTTTATTTATGTTATTTCTATCAATGTTCAAGAGACTAATGGAAATGGGAATTATCTAATAAGTAAAATATAGTGTAGCTTCAGAAATAAATCCTCATTTTTTTGAGTGAATCTCCTTTTTTATTTTTAATTAGTTTTGAATAAGCATGAAATGAGAAGTGGCAATTGTAATTTTTGTATTGTTTCCAGTGCAATGTCTTTTGATATTTTAATACTCATATGCTTTTTCTGTAGATCTATACTATAAAACTAAACTATATATACTATACTAGATACTATAAAAACATGGATGTTATAATACTTCATTTGTTTTCAACCATATAGGTAAACCAAAATTAAAAATCTACATTTGCTGACAGCATTAAATCATCTGGTGCACTGCATTTATTTCTTACTCTAGCTACAAAGAGTATTTCAGTATCTTTGACATACTATAATGCATTATAATTATAAACCATTACCTGTTTGTGAATCCTTGACATTTATTGACATCTACTGTAATTAATTCCTTTTGTCATCTAGTCACCACTAACAAGAAAGCTAGTCTTAGCAGTACTACAATGAAAAGATGAATACCCTTACATATTAGAGATGCCACAACTTTTGTTCCTCATATCATATCTGTGTACAGATACTAGTTTCCTCATAAATACTTCAGTGCTGAATCTGTCTGTAAAACGAGAGGTATGTGGGAAACTTTTGCACTTTTAGTATTTTATCCTGACTAAGGATCAAGTGGAAATATTCTTCCTTATAATGCAGATATGTCCAGCAAAATATTACGTTCCTTGCAAATAAAGAAGGAAAACATCCTCAGTCCTTGGATCTATTCAGTTAGAATCAAATTTATCTTACTTAAAGGCCAAAGGCTAAAAGAAGGGATGTTTTATAATTAGCTTTTTCATAGCCTCTAGAATAAACAATGGTTATTATTTAATAGGAAAGATAAAAAAGAAATTTATTTTTTCAATATTCTAAAATCAAAAATTATAATAAATACTGCAGATATGGGCTTTGATGTCCATATATATCTGGCATATCTGTCAGCTGGTCATTTCCTCATTCCTGACTCATGTTCCTCTGAATAGCCCTGCTTGGTTTTATAAATATGTATCTACCTCTGTGGTCTTGGTAGTTGCAAGAACATAGTGTAGCACAAAACCAGGCAATGGGTGGTCATTGGTAGCACCACAGATATTATGTAAGGAATCTCCTGCTTCACCAGGAAAAGGGGAAGTGCTTCTGTGCCTTCTACTGTCATATACTGGTCATAAATGTGTTATCTGAAGCAACCATATGGCATAACATCTTCACAAAATCTTTGGAAGTGATGATGTATATTTGTTCAAAGATTACCTACATATTGATAAAATGATATTGCAGGGCATCCTTGGCTCAGGATTTGCATTGAAAGTGCAGGAACAGCATCGTCAGAAACACTTTGAAAAAAGAAGGAATCCAGCTGCAAGTCTAATTCAGGTAAATATGACATCACCAAAAAGATAATCACAAGTGATTTAAAGTACATATTGGAACAAGACTTATTATTTCCATTTGGAAAGTTTTGTGGAAATAATATTTAACAGATTAGTTAGTTTCATGAAAAAACTGTGTTCGGTGACTTACTATGTGTTGCCATAATTCTGTACAGAATCACAGATTCATTTAGGTTGGAAAACACCTTTAAGATTATCAAGACAAACTATAACAAGACACACAGCATTTCTGTGTGTAGTTTTTGTTCTCTATCCATGTTAAAGAAACAGAGGCGAGGATACCAAATGCATGCCTGCAGTCAGAAAGCTATTTGTAAAAAGAGAAGTGATCCCTAGACATCCCAACTGATAGCACAGCACTCTTGCCTATATTAAGCTACTTTTCATCTACTACAGGGTTTAGAGAATTTCAGTGAGGGATATACATGGTGAAGATAAAAAGTGTCCTGCCCAGAGAATTGCCTTCACGATGAGTCAATTCAAAAGCTGGAAATGTAGGCACAAACAATTTTAAAATGTCTGAAATTGTCTGAAGTTGTTCTGATGTGATGGTGCAAATCAACAAAAAGTGGCACGGTATGTTTTAGGTAGCTGTTTTGCATTGGCTTTTTCCTTAACCTCCACTCCTGGTTAAAACTGAGAAAATACTCTAAAGAATCATTTTGCATCAAGCTTTACTCTACTTGATGCACTAAAAAAAAAGGTGGGGGGAAATAATCTCCTAGAGTCCTAGTTTATTTTCCTGGGATGTCAAGCATTCTATGTGTGCCATGTATGCTGGGGTTTATTTTTGAACTAATAAATCCAAATAAAGAAGCTGAGTATGAATATGCTAGAGGTCCATGCTAAGTACAGATAGATGTTAGACTGTCTTGGAAGCATTCTTAAAGTTAATAAATGTTTTCCATTATTACTGTTCAATTATTATTAAATTCTAAATATTTCAAATATAATATTTATTAGAATAATTAACAAAAATAATTCCACTACTTTTGTGTCTAGTTTAGAATGACTGTTTGGCGTATTTTCTAACACATATATTCTAATCTACTTCTTTCAAGTTTGGTTGCCAGAGGAAACAGATAATAGATTGAGGTTTTGAATATAGCTCTTATTATTATTTTATGACAGTTCAACGGTTCAAAATATTAGTAAGACAGCATGCTAAATAGATTAAGAGTAGCTAGCTGCCTGATTTTGGAAAGTGGCTCTCAGTGAACAAAATCATTGTGAAAGGAGGACATTTGTTGTGGGATCCCATGATGAAGGCTGTTCAACATTTACATGTTCCTTTACAGGTTCAACACTTTCAGTGATCCAGAAATTAATATAAAATTGCTGGTAGAGATATCTTCTGAAGGCACAAGGCCTGGCAGCATAGGAAATACAAAAACCAGAACACAGGAATAAAACCAAGGACAATCTGGGTGACTTTTAGGATGAAAGGATCACTGCCAAATGTTTTAACACAACAAATACAAAACTTGATCTAGAAACTGAATCCAGATAATTATGTCTCTATCCCAGTATTATTGAATCAGGAAAGGATTTGATGAAGCATGAGAAATACAGAGGAGAAAGACTGGGAAAGAAGGGTCAAGAGCTTCATACAAGTTCCCAGTATGTTACTACACCTGGTTTTATTAAAGTCCTTAGATACAGACCCATAAACATAATGAGGAGAAGACTGATCCTACCACTGTGTATTATGATGCTCATATCAACTCAGTATATATATGTTGATATCATACATATCAACTCAGCATCTATAATTTGTAAGTGAGACTGAAATATTGGAGAAAGCAAATAAAACATTGGAAAAATGGGTCAGGGACTGGAGAAAATTTAGTGTTCATAAATGCAAAATGTGTCTGAACTGCATATCATTGGGTCCTGTAACAGTGCCCAGGTTTTTTTAATTGTCTCTAGCTTATCAGGGTAATGTCTATTTTCTAACCAGTTACACTGTAGAATTAGACTGTGCTAGCTCATCTGTTGCCACAGATAGACTCTTTGAGAGAGCCTTTACCTGTAGATAGCTGTAGAAAAGTTAAATATTTGGTATGGATATACTTTTCTCAATTTCATTAGCTTATAAGAAATATTTAGTGTGAGAATTATTTGAACACAGAAGCTCAGAGAGGAAGTCTTGGAACCTACTGGACCATTTAATGTAGCAGACAGGAACATAACAAGTAACTCTGGCTAAAAGCCAAAACCAAAGAGTTTCAAATTAAAAATAATGCAGAAATTTTTTGACAACAAGAATGATCAACCAATGAAGCAATTTCAAAGTGAGTAACAGGTTCTCCATCTGTTAATGAAGACTGGATGTGTTTCTGGGAGATACACAGTAGGAAAACACAGGGTATTAGATTCCATACAAGAATACCTAGATGACATTTAATGGTTGACAATATACAGGAAGCACAGATGCTCAGCTAGTACAAATTAATATAGTTATGCTGAGATCAGGGAACATGTCCCAGCTTGTAGAACTAAGGCTCATGTTACTATCTACATGCATTATAAATCTAAACAATGGATACATTTTCAATGCTATGCTTTGGTTACTCACTTTTGTTAAATGTTTAAAAACACAAAATGAATAATTTCAGTGTTTCAAACCACAGAGAATGTTTCTCTTCTCTTCTAAGTGTTTTTTGTCTAGTTTTCATTATGATTTGCAGAATGTATTATGACATTTTCTTTACGTCAGACTGCAAGGTTGTGTGGGTGTCCTCAATGGACTTGTCACAAATAAATCACTGCAATGCTTTTCTGAGCATCTTTATGTGCTGAATATCTTCTGGTGCTTTCACAGAGCCAGTAAGTCTTATCTTACTGCATAAAGTGTACTGGGATTCACAAAAGTTTTGGCAGGTTTGTACTGGTATTTCCTCAATCAGCCTAACCGAGCGCATTCCAGTCTGAACAAAATCCCCTCGCTCCATAGTCAGTGTGGTGGCATTGTCACTTCATTTTCTTGGTTCCTTTGTGCTTTTCTATTGTTTCCCCATACCAGGCTTCTTGGTGGTTTTATTCTACTGACGCCAGCCGAACAAACATGGCAGCCACCTGGCGATATTATGAAAGTATTCTTCCTCCCCTCAGGCATGTATCAGTGCTACGAATGATACGAGAAAGATACAACTTGTATCAGTTACTAATCTGCTTTTCAATTTTTTGTTTCATCCCCTACTCCCTCTTGCCTTGTTTTTTCTTTTTTTACCATATATCCTGCACGTAGTGTGTATGGCGTAGTTATGCTGCTGATGAGAAATCAGTTTCCATTGCTACCTGGAAGCCTCATTTGAAGGCCTTGCATACCTGCAGCCCTACAAAGTAGGTACAAATATGGCAGCTGGTGCTGTTTTTGATGTGTGTCCAAGCTTATAGAGAACTAGTATTTGTCTGTTTTGTCTTGGTTTGTTGTCTTAAGTCCTCTCAAGTCTTCTCAATAAAAATTTCAACTAACAAATCAGATCAATATCACGTAGGAGCCTAGGAACAAATACAAATCATTGCTATTTATCTTAGAAATGCACAGGCATTAGAAACATTTTCCCAACAACCCATTCATGCATCATGGTTAATGATTTACCTCATTCCAAATTATTCTTAAGGAGAAAAATATTAAGTTTAATGCAGAGCTTATTCCTTGCTTCAATGGTATGTTTATGCCTGTGCCTCTGTATAAGGCTGTAGCTGCTGATCTACCTTTCCAAAGAAAGAGTGCCTTGTGCTATTTTGTACGTGAATGCACTGGAGAATTTGCTCCTTTTTGTCATAACTTCTGATATATTCCGTATTTCCTTAGGACAAACTATATATGCAGTCATACATACAGACAGTAGAAGATGACTCAAAAGACCTGTTGCCACAGTTTGGCAGACAGGAAATATTTGATATCCTAGTTTGGGTGAGAATTCACAGAGCACTGGCAGCCCAAGACTTTTCAATAATTCACTAAAAGGTTTAGCAGAAGGCAGCAAGTTGACTGATTCAATACAGGGCACAGATCAGGAAGTAAAAAATACTTGATAAAGATTAAAAAGGAGAGCGCTAAGAGCCTTATGGGAAAGCTCTGATAAGCATCTTAACTGTTGTTAATTGCAGACAGTGCAAGAGAATTAGTGGTTTCTCTCAAAGCTGGGTGATGAACATCCACATGACAGTAAAAAGGTAATTGTGTGCCAAAAAGCTCAGCCAAAAAGAAGTTTGGCTGGGTATCCAAAGCTGATCTTTGAATTTCAAAGAGTTGACAAGAACAGAGCCGTAAGTAATCCATTACCATAACTCTAATTCCAAACTGCTCTACACTAAAAGGAGCTTTTACATTAAAAGTTACATGAAGTATTGATATTTTATATATACAAACAGGTTAAAAGCAACATTAGTATAAATGGATGGATAGAAAATTACATTAATAATGAAGCTGTATCCCACATAAAATATTCTAAAATATGACTGTCCCTCAAAAGTGCATCTACTTCTTATTTTAAATAAGCATATTGCTGTGCTAAAACTGAACCTTTTTATTTACCAGAAATAAGTTATCTAATAAGAAACTACAGCTTTCTGTTATGTATGTGTCAGCAATGCATTTTGCCTAAGTGCTTTGCCAACTCAGTCTGCAGTGGTATGTACTAAGCATGTTATGCATGTGTTAAAGACCTGAAAAGTTTTTTCTACAGAGGCATTGTAATTATGAGTCTTGCTTGAATGTTTGTGTGGTTGCAATGTAATGTGTGTGCTGTGCACCAATTAACATATCCATTTGCATTTATCATACATATAACATCATCTGTAACTAAGTAATGTGATTACTATCTGCATAACAAATATGTTTTTCCCTCCCACTCCCTGACCTGAAGAAAAGAACAAGGGGAATCTTCTAGCAGGTTTGTAGTTTCTTTTATTTCTTTTATCTGTGAAATTGCTGTTTCCTAATGACTTTTAGATGTCTTGGGTTCTGTACAGTAGAGTCAATGAACTGCAACTATTGATGGATAATAATCACAAATTGGATCTTTTTAAACTCATATGCTGCTGAAATGTGCTTCTTTGTCCTAGTTTTTCTATAGGAAAATTAGGCAATTTTTTACACATCTAACATGCTGTAGCTTTGAGAGGCTCAGTTTGAACAGTGCCAGAGCAGCCAGTGGACCAGCTTCCCCAGACCCAGCTCCTGGACAAGCACATGTCCCCAGCTTCTGCCATAAAATCGATGCAGAAATTGCAGTGGAAGTTACAGACATATAGTTTTATTTGGCAATGTGAAGAAGCCCAACCCTCCATTGCAGGGAGGACTTTTTGATGGGTCTGGTTGGATGTCACCTTTGCCCTGCAGGAGCATCCTCAAGGCTTCCTCAGAGCCATGTCTCTACATTTTCTAACTTTTCTGCCATCCCCTCCCCTAAGGAGCATTTTGGGACATAGGAGGTGGGGGGAAAGCAGCACTGCAGTGTCTCGCCTCCTCCTGGCTGCATGGCTTGCACTTCCCCATGGCTCAGTTCAAGCAGAGGAGCCAGACTGGTCCCACTGCTGAAGGAAGCCCCACTGCTGTCAGCTGGGAGCGCGGGTGGGCTCCCACCCAGCCTGGATCCCGGCTGAGCACCGACTGCCTACAGCTGGCAGCAGCAAGCCTTGGCAGGGCTATCCTCACCGGGTAAACAAAGCTCTGGAGAGCCATGTCCTGAGGCAGTGGGAGAAAATGCTGGTCTTTCCTGTACTGATAGCCCAAATCCTTAGGGACAGGAAAGGCTTCAGTGGCTATAAGAGAAATTACTCTATCTCAGAAACTCGTTAGGGATGGGAATCAGCAGGCGTTTGGCAGCTGGCACTGTGGTATCAGCATGCTCAGAGAATAGCAGACTTTACCTCCCAGCAGAAAACGCTGAAAAGCCAAGGAAAAAAGTGTTGATGACACATCAGTCCCTGAAATACATCTAGCCCCGTGTTGTACTGCGGTTCACAAATGCTTCTGGGTTACTCAGTCTTCACATCAATTACACATGTCCCATTCCACTTCCCAGACTGCTCCCCTGGCACCTGACTCCAACCTTATGCTCCAAGCACATGTAACTGCTGTTAGTGTCACTGCAACTCAAGGGGACAAGATTTGCTCTGTCAGTTCTAGGACTTTTTGTATATGTTACCTCCACAGGCTGGCTAGCAACATATTGAATTAAATTATTACAGTATGATCCAAACTTCTTGCACTCACTAGCTGTATTTCCTAGTCTTTTGACAGCAGCATTTAAAATTACTTTTTTAAAGGTGACACAGAAGTTGCCAGTAAATGAGTACATCCCTCTAAAACTGGGATTTGTGCAGAGGGGAGAGGTTATTTCCAGTTGTACCAGCAAGCACTAAAAGAGACAAATTTACTTACAATAGATTAAAAAAAAATCAAAAACCCAAACAGCTGTCAAAAACCATGCTATGTTATCCACATTGATGATAACAATTGTGGCTTTAAAAGAAGTCAACAATTTAGCCATATTTACTAACTTTATTTTCACTGTATGGAAGATGTTTGCTCTTTCAGAAACAATTAATACATGCACTGCTGCAAATTAATATGTAAAAATGAACTAGTTCACTTCTAAGATCATGTTCTACAGTAAAAACCCTACAGACCACTCAGACACTTAAAAAAAGGTGTATTTTTTCAGTGGCTGTTTATTGCTCTTATGCTGACATATCTCTGTATGTTTGTATCACTGAAAATACTTGTGGTGTATGTGGTCTTTTGTGGCAAAGATGTAAATGTGAACTGCTGCAATGTACTTTGAGATACCTGTCCTTGACTATATAACTGGTTTCTTACTGCAATGTTAAGTGACTTGCATGAGATTCTATGTGAACTAAGTAAGATTCTTCTTGTTTCACTCTTTAAATGAAGATGTTTTTGCACAAGCAGTACATTGGGTTGCATTCTGAACATGCTCTTTGCTCTATATTTCCTTCTAAGAACAGTGAAGAAAATCTTGTATTATGTTAGGGAAAAGTTCATTATTTTCTTTCCTACCAAACTGACTTATATTAACAGAAATTAATTCTTGTGTTTTGTCATGTATAAACCTGCAGTCTTTCATTAGGTGACTAAATGTTTCTGTGCATTTGAGTTGAGAGAGCTGCGCTTATGAGGCTGCAGTGTCAGACTGATTTTAATAAAAATATGTACATTGTATTTCCCAAAATTTTACGCACAAGTATTCTAATTAATAATTTATCAAAGTATTGGTAGACAACCTCTCTGGTGGCTATAAATGAGATATTTCTATAAATTAGTTCCAGAGTTGTGCAAGTTATTTTAAAAGCCTGTATCTTAAATTCTTAATATCTGTAAATGCACACACTGAAACAAACAATATTTATTTCTGTTCAGTTATACAACATGGCTGAAATAGTTCCTGTGCAGGAAACAAGATCAAGACTGATGAATCTTGTCACATACGGAGAGCATAATCAGTCTTAAACTGTGTGTAGGACATGCACTGGCTGTCTGCAAAGGATGAATGTCACCCATCTAGTCTTGTAACCCATGAGGTTGAATATGCATTCCCTATTCAGACAATTCTCTCTGGTGCAATAAGGAGCAGTTTTGCCACTACAAAATCTTCAGGGGAAAACTCAGCCCTGTTCTGAGGGAAATAAGTAAATTATGTTATGGAATTCTTTCACCTCCTATAACATTTCTGTTTCTAAAAGTAGATTTAATGTAAACAACTCTGCATGCACCACATAAAAAAAGAAATTGCTAGTGATGCATAATCTAACTTGAGGTGGAAAACCTAACCCCTTACATAGCACTGGAATGCTTAGTAACAGAGTCCTCTATCTCCCCTCACTCCTAGTAAGCTTTGTAGTAATAAACAGAAGCTCTTCAGGATGTACACCCCTCGGAAACATAGGTATTCAGCATCCTGCCTATTCACATGATGTTTGAGAATGTCAACTAACATCAGGTGCATGATTCATTCACTTCCCCTCCTTAGTGCTTTAAAGTTCCTCACTTCTCCAAATGATGTTTCCTATTTATTTTTAAGTGCTTGTAAGTCCCTTTTTGCTTGTTGCCTGCAATGCCATTAACACAATGGCAGCAACACCAGTTGTTTCAAACTCATCCAGCCAGGCATTGCAGTGCATGGCACACCACAGTTTTACGAAGCCCCATTCCCCTTCTCTGCCCGAGACTTCAACTTAGGCAATGCATTAGGGAATGCATTACCATGTGGTGGTCTAAAACTGGGGCTGAATATTTTGGTAAAGCCAATTCCCAAGTCCAAGAGGATTCTTATGACCATGGCAGTTGATTTCTCCATCTAATTATTAGTGGAGAATATTAAGCTATAGCATGCTAGACAATTACAACAGACATAATGCTCAATTGCTCTTCAGAAGAATCTCCTTGGACACAGCTTGTGGATGATGTGCCTGCATCCTGTACTGGAAGGTAGAGGAATGCATGTGAAATCAAGCATCTGCTTCAGCTGAATTCTCTTGAAATTTTGTCTCTTACCAAAAACTGGTAATTCCTAGATAGATTAATCTTACGGGAAGAAGCCTATGATTCATATCTCAAGCTGATTGCATTTTTTCTTCCTTATTAAAAATAATTAAAAGACAGTAAAAGTACAAACTGATTACAGAAAATTAGGAACAAAATAGTTTATTTAGAAATTGTTTTCAAAAAGGAAAAAATGCACAAACACCCTGAATATTTGCTTTTTCTGTTTGACAATTGAACTATAAGATACTGTGGCATGAAGTTCTTGTTATTACTTATTGAAAGTATGAGATACAACACTAAATTTCTTGAGTTTGTGGCCCTACCATGAGACTGGTGGTGAAGTCTTTGAACTTTAGGTCTCACAGTATTTTCCATTGCATTTGTATTTGTTCAACTTAGCTTAATTTCAGTATAAGTGTTTATAGGCTCAGTAAGAATCAACACCTGTATTAATAGGTAGCTAACTGCTGAAAATTGGCATGTGCATCTGCTTGCTGTTGTTTGCCATAGGTGATAATTTCTGGCAGTTCTAGCTTCTGTCTCAAGACTCAAAGCATTCTTCCTCACCCTCAGGCCCTCCACTTATTTCTGATTCATTTCAATTTCTTCCTATTCTTGCTTCCTCCAATTGGCTCAGTATGAAAAGCTGAAAAACTAGGTGTAAATTATGGCTAGTAGCAAGGAGTAGTGCTGCAGGTCTGAGGCTGAGGCACAGCATAAGTTCTAACTTGACCAGAAATGTAGAAAGGTGGCAGGAAAATGGGGGGTAGGACTGGGAAGGAAGGAGATGCTCAGTTAATAAAGTGTAGGAAGATGGTCCGTGGAAGACAGAGCAAGCAAAGGTTTGTACGCATTTGTCAGTTAAAACAAACTCTTACCCAGAGTAATCATTTGGACCACGAGAAAGTGATCGTTCCCTCTGCAGTGAAGCTACAGTGACCTCTAGTGTCCCTACACACTATTCCTTTATAAATCAGAGGTGGCAAAGGCAGAATTTGAAAACGAAGGAATAAAAACTAGAAAGTCATTTGCTATCCTAGGGAAGTGAGTACCTTGGGCATGCAATGGGAGGAATGAGTCATAAAATCCTACGACTGACCTTTCAGAAGGCAGAGAAATACAGAAAAGTAATTTGCTTCCTTTTCTACTGCTGCCAGTTGTAATTGATCTCCACTATAAGATGCTTCAAAGCTCAAGTGCTATTGATAAGAATACATTCCACAATTTTCTGCAAGAAAGCTGCAAGAATACAGGGGTGATAGGTCCAAAGAGATTATCATTGCCAGGGAAGTCTGTCATAGGAAGCAAAAATGTATGTCAACTCATTGGGCTAAATTACCAGTCATATAAAGTACAAGAAATGATGAACAGACACACATCTAAGGGAATGCAGTGATAACTGGGAACAGCTATGGATCTCTCAGATCACTGTAATTTAGTTTTGATTTAGGAACTTGTGTAATTTTATTTTCCTGTTTCTTATGGTTTTTTGCTTTTTGGACAAACACACAACTTAAAGTTTGTGAATACTTA